TAAAGAGTATTCTCATGTATATAAGTACAAACATGTAATTTTAGAAAATATTAGGATATTTAAGTGCATTAAGATATAAGTGGAGATATATGAATGTAACTTTTGTAACCTATAAGGTATTTAAGTTTTATTAAGCCTATAAAGATTTGAAGGCTTTGTTAACCACAAGCAATAGTATGTGGTCCCTTTGATAAATAATGTTCATCGCATAATATGATGTCAGAGGCTTAGCTTATATTTATATAATACAGAAGATGTGGAAAATTTTAAGCATCAAATTTTGAATAAGTCTCGAGATTTTGAATTATAAATGAAATTATATACTTCACTTAGAATTATACTCCCTTTAAAAGAGGAAGCTATAGATAAACTTTCTATGGACTATATTACCCCTATTTTTAAATATTATATTTTAATCCTAACTAAACTAAATTAATTAGTATTGTTAATTAATCATATTATATGCCACTTCAAGTTTGTCTAACTTGGTTTTTAAATTTCCAATGTTATTGTAAAACTCTCATATTAATTATTAGTAATGTCTAATAATATATTAATAGACAATTGCATGTCAATACATTATTAATAGAATGAGTAAGAAATACAGAATTATCCTAAAATTATACTGTTATATTCATATAGAAAAATTACAAATATTATTCTTGCATATAGAAGGTATAGACATGTAATTTTAGAAAATATTATGATATTTAAGTGCAACAAGATACAAGTGGAGGTATGTAATTAAAACTTTTATAAAGTGTAAGGTATTTAATTGAATTAAGCCAATAATCATTTAAGTCCTTTGTTAATCACAAGCAATAGTATGTGATCCCTTTGATAAATAATATTCATCACATAATATGAGGCTTTAGAAGAGATATGGGAAAATTAAAGCATCATATGTTAAATAATGTTAAGATTTTGAATTATTTCTGAATTTATAAACTTTGCTTGGAAAGCTTTAAAAGAGGCTTTTGAAGGGCTACTACAAAATGTTGGGCACCATATAAATTCTAGACAAATAAAATTCATGATATTGGATTGTAATAATCAGGGTTATGTAAAAAATATCTGGGTGTTATATGATATAATGCTCATACGTAATATAACATTGTAATCTATAATCTCAGGCATTGATGGATTTTAAACATAAGAATTTGCGTCAAAATATATGCTTAAGATTTGAGAGAGCTGCAAGTGGAGAGATTTAGGTTATGAATTGTGGCTTTTGTGACTTGTGCTTTTAGTTTTGATTTCTAAACACGACCCAATACCAAGTCCACAATTAAATTAAAAATGACTCGATTTTGTTATACCAACCAATATTTTGATAATAATCGATATATGAGAAAAAATTCCCAAATAAAAGAAAATAATATAAAATCATAAATATTATCAAAATAATCTTTTATATCAGTCAATATAGCGATATATTGGCCAATATTTCATATATTGCATATAAGAGCAATATTTAAAGGTAATTTAGATATCATTTCCTTGATTTTAAATCTCGAATAATTCTACATTATTTCCTTAAAATTTTGGTGATATAATTTAGGGACTACTATTGAGTTATAAAATATTTGAGGGACAAATATGTAAATAAGCTAAATTTGAAAGAATAGTTAATTTTTTGAAAACTCTCTCAATATGGAAAATGTCTCAAAAAACACTCAACTAATTTAATTTAAAGGAGCTTCCTAACTATAAAAGTGTTATAGATAATCTCTCTCAACTTTGGTGCGATTTTAGAAAACACCCTTCGACTTAGCGTGTCTTATGAAAACTCTCATGGTCTTTTACACATCTCTTAACAATCCCCTTAATTTAAAAGACTTTAATATGTGATTTTGTCAAAATGCCCTGTTGAAGAAAGTCATTTTAGTTAATAAAACTCTCAATCGATAATAAAAGGATTACGACCAATTTACAGTTCTTTTTACCTCTAAATCTTTATTTTTTTTATTTAGCACAAACCAAGCTAATTCTTTTATGATTGAGGGATATTTTGGTCTTTCCAAGTGAAGTACTTATCACATAATGAATTCGACTCAACGATATTAGTTTTGAGGGGTTAATTGAGAAAAGTTCATAGGGTTAAATCAAAATTTTGAAGTTGAGATAGATTAACTACAACACCTTAAATTTAACGAACAAAGATTTACTCATTTTAAGTAGTTGGGGGGGGGGGTCATAGTTGAGAGAAAGTTTTTTTTAAAATTAACCCTTAAACAAAGCACAATTTAAGACACATGTGACATCAATCTTATAAGAGTGGATTTTATAGCAAGTCTATCAATATCTCTGAAAATCTTTTGCTACAAAATTCGCAGAGAGAAATTTAATCTTTATTTGGGATGACTATGTGATCCTTATGGTTCTCCTTATCTTTTATGATTTGTAATAAATTATTTAACAAAATAAATTAAGTTATTCATTTTATATGTCTCACCTTTATGAAGCATATGGTTTGGATATGAGTGTTATTAGATTCTCTTAACTCTTTAACCTAAAATTTTGGATATTATTTAATATTGGAAAGATCTAAATTATTTTGTTAAAATACAATCCATATGTGTACAAAATATGTTTAAATCATTCTCATATTATATTTTATAGTTTTCTTAAATCAGAGAGTAATATTTTTGACAAATTAATTAATTAGTTGAAAAGATGTAGGAAGATTATAATATTAGATTTTGGAATTGGTCACATAATTTATATTTTTTTCTTGATTGTATTTGCACATTCTAAGTTTAAAAATTCTAGAAAAAAGTTTTTAAATGTCTATAATACTCGGTCGCTAGATAATAGAAGTGGAAGTAGACAATAGGTGCGAGTGATTTCTTTATAATTAAACAAAATCCTCTATGACCAGATAAAGTTTACTATTTTATGTTGATGAATTCAAGATTTATTTTTTATTAATAATAATAGTTTTTTAGATATTAGTGCTTACACCATTAATATTTTAAAAGTAGAATTCCAAATCATTAAATTGTTATTAGATTATTAATATTTTAAGACTTTAAACCTCACTAATTATGTGGAAGGTAAAGTGTTGAAACCAACAAGATTTTATATATTGAAATATCTGAAACTTTTTAATATATTATGATAATCATAAACTTTTTTATAACTATGTTATAGTAAATACATAAACTAAAAATCAACAACTATAATATTTGACCACGTGTATTGCACGTGCATTCCACCTAGTATATATATAAAGAGAATTGCTAAACTTGTTTAATTTTTTCACTTAAAAAATGGTTAATCTATAATACAGGATGGACACACACACTCTCTCTCTCTCTCTCTCTAGAATTGCTATAATTGTTTAAATTTTTCACTTAAAAAATGGCTAATCTATACTGGAGAGAAATGCGGAGGTAAAAAAGAACAAAGAACATGTTTTTGTGTAAGATTTGATAAGTCGCAAAAAGTACTCTGTTTTCTAGATTTTGTATCTGCAGGCCCTTTTTCTAGGAAATATCACTAAAATGCATCAGGAGAATATCATTGATAAATAATGTCTGTATTTAACTTTATTTGGTCACGATAAATTATATATGATTTATCTTTTTAGAATATAAAAATATAATTCTCAATCCTTGTTATAACTTTAGAATTTTGATGTAATATTTAGAAGGACTTTAAAATGGTAGCAGAGCAATCCAGATTTGAATCTCACTGTCCATGAATTTAAAACGAATTTTCTAAAAATTGACACTGTTACGTGAGTTTTGGTCTAATGGTTGGAGGGATTTTAAGATATTTTTGAGATAAACTTATTGATACATCTAAACAAATTAATCAAAACTGCTTAGAAACACTAAATGTTAACCTAAATTAATTTTTATTAACTTCTTTAATCTCTTTTGATGCTTCGAAAATTCGTTTAATTTTTTAATAAGAAGCGGTCTCTGTCTTGAATCTAAAAGTATTTGGGGATAAAGAGGGGTAATATTATTTTCTTTATAAATAAAGGTTTTATTTTTATCTGTCTACAAAGAATCCGAGATGGATTCATAAAACCTCTCATTTTGAAGGATTAATTTATTTTAACAGGAGTAATTTTAATGTAATTGGTGTCTTTGACAAATTAAGACGGGTTAACTCATTGTATTTTCAGTGTTTATCAAATGAAAATGAGGCTAATACTCAAAACGCTAACTTATATGAATTGGGGGACTAACTAGCAAGTTCAATAATGTAAGTGACCAATTTGAAAATATGAAAGACAAAAACCTAAATGAGATCAATATTGTACTCTTGATCTTAATATTTCTAAATTAGGTTTCCAAATCTTCGTATTTGTTTGAGATGAAGGTTTTAATCGAACACAATTTAATTTGATGTGTACATCGAAGTTATGACCATATTATTTAAAACAAATTATAGGATTTTGGGGGTCTAATAAGAAGATTTGGGGTAATATAAAATAAACAGCGATGCGAGGGTCTAATATGACAAAAAAAATCGAAAAAGGAATTAGCCGGAAAAAGCATATATAGTGCAAAAAAAGTAGTACAAGAATCTTAAAACGAAGGAAATCCAAAGAAGTGAGGAGAAAATAACATTTAAATCCTTAGAAACACTCCATCTCTTGCTTCCTCCTTAAAAACCCATTCCATTTTTCTTCCTTCGGACAAATTTTCAAAACCAACCCATTTGATAAACTATTCCCAAAAAAAGACCCATTTCAGTTTTATTTGTAAAAACCGACCTGGTTTCAGCCTCAGCGCTGAAACCAGGTCGGTTTTTGAAAAAAAAATTCCGAAACTTCACGGGAGTTCAACTCCCGTGAAGTTTTGTTATGTGAAAAAACTTCACGGGAGTTGAACTCCCGTGAAGTTTCGTAAAGTTTTTTAGAAAAACCGACCTCAAAAGTCCTTTTAAGGACCCATCAAGAAAGCTGCCACCTTTATTGCGATCTTGGTGAGCTCTGTTCCCTTTGTTTTTCAAGGTCGCTGTGTTCTTCTCTTTTGGTGGGTTTTTCTTGATTTTTTTTATTGGAATGTTTTTTTTTCTCTCCTGTCTTCTCTCTATTGACTGGTACGGGTTTCTCTCAGAATTTGATTTCTTTTCTTCTTCTCTTGTCTGATTCAAATGGGTTTTTCTTGATGATGGAAAATCTTGTTTCTGTTCTCTTGGGTTCGTGCATTACAAATTTATCTTTGTTTCTTGGCTTTTTCTTGGTACAATATTACCTTATTTCCGTGTGAAAAAATTTGTAACTATAATCTTTTAATTGCAGCATAGTTTGTCTCGTTTATCCTGATAAGAATTAAAGGCAACTCCTTTCTTTACTCTCTCAATCTATTCCCATTGATATATTGCAGAAATTTCTGGAAAAAAATGAATTTTTTCTTCTTCCTCGTTCTTGTGATGTAGTTATGGGTGATCATCTTGCTCTATTGGTGGACCGCTTGCTCACTGAATCTACACTTGAAGCCACCATTGAGAGCAGAAAAGGGGCACAGAGCTCGCCGGGTTCCGAGTCGTCGACTGTCCCCATTGATGAATTTAGTTCAGAGAAGAAGTTTGGGAACTTGGTGGAGTGTAGGATTTGTCAAGAAGAAGATGAAGCGTCGAACATGGAGGTCCCTTGTTCTTGCTGTGGCAGCTTGGAGGTAAAATTCGAAGTTATAATAACTGTTTTTGAAAAGTATTTTTTTCCCTTGTGTTTGATTGAGTGAGCTAGTTGGTAAAAAAAATGACTTGAGATCATGATCGGGTATTGGAACAGAACGGCTTATTAGAGTTTGGGACGAAAGAAGATCAGTCTTTTTAGCTAGCCAATGAAACACCACTTGTAGAACGGCTTATTAGAGTTTGGGACGAAAGAAGATCAGTCTTTTTAGCTAGCCAATGAAACACCACTTGTTCAACAATATTCGTCTATCATTTAACGGATGATTTTGATTTTTCTTGAGAAAAAAGAACTTTAGAGGGTGATTATGATCTATGAAGTGGTTTGTTCACTGTCACTTTGGTAGTGAAGAGGATCAAAATCCAATGGAATCACCAAAAGATTAACTTTCCTAATAATACGAGTCCTATCATCTGCTTAATGTTATTATGTATCTCTTCTTGATATATTCCTTGTTGGATATGTTGCCTTGAGAATTTATCTATATTTGCAATGCTAGAACACAGCTAAGAAATCGAATAATCCTCTATGTTCAGTCTACAACGAGAGTTAATTCGGTACAAATAGAAGATATGAAGTTATTCGAATAAAAAGATTGGAACTTATCTTAATTTAGAAGCTAATTGATTTTGTTGACCACAAGTATCAAATTGCTTCTGTATCCATTTCCCAGAAATAGATTAATTGTAGGTTAGCAATTATAACTGTTTGTATGTGTTTCTGCTAGGAAGCGTGACATTTTCGAGGCATTAAATAGTATGCTACATTAAAGTGGTAGCATATCTGATACATGAATGGTAGTTTTTTATTTACAAATACTATATTTACTTTTTTAGTGGATTGGGCATAATTGTCACTTTTATTGCAAATTTTGTGTATAGAGACAACACCAACACTATATGGGTATAGAAGTAATCAGTTTAAAAATTAGGGTATAGAACTATTCTTTTTCTAGGTCATAATAGCTAATGGATAAATATGTCCAGTTTTAGTCTAGATACAAGCCTGTTAATACTGATATTTTTCCTCTGGATGATATGGTAATCATGACCAGTTGAGGATTTGAGGATTATGGTTTGCTCTCCGTCATGTAGTAAAAATAGCTGTTGTAATTATTCGGTCATTTCTTGTTGAGTTTGATTGTTTTGACAGTATTTAAACTAAAGTTTTTTAAAAAATAAAAATGGAATATGAAAATATTAAATAATGAATTGCTTCAAAAGGGAAAGCAATTATTGAATAAGGACAGAAATTTTTAAATAGTGAATTCCTTCAAAAGGAAATGCAATTACTGAAGAAGACAAGGATACAAATTCAAAATTAATGATTTCAGAACAGTGAGTTCTGCATTTAAACTTATTAAGATTGAAACCAAGAGTAGATATAACTCCTGTCAACTTCTAGTTCGCACTGATAATATAGTATACTAGTATATTCAACTGCTACAGTTCTCATGATGTTTGGTGAATGTAACTTTCTACTTCAATTAGCACAAGACTTAATTTGTCGCTATGAAAAATAGAACCACGATAAATAAATGAGGAACAAAGGAATGACATTGATATTATTTCAATCTTTTTACACTAAGATGAACAGCTTCTTCTACAAAGGTTAAGTTTAAAAGAGGAGAGAGGGTTTTTGTTTAAAATGTGAATTGAGTGCCAAGCACATGTCATTTGGAAGGTGTTTGTATTCCTCGTTGAAATTTGGAGGTTAAAAGGTCGTTCAGTTAGGTTTTTGTTGATAAAAAATGGTTCTAATAGATTTGAAAAATAGACCCGTACAGGTAATCCTTCCTAAAATTTGCAAGTTAATGAAGTTATTTTGTATAAGGTAACTACATTCAATAACCAAATTGTTTTGAAGTGAATAATCTATAATTTGACGTACTAAGTTCTGAGGATAAAAAACAACATTCATGGGAAATAAAAAAAGACTAGGAAAAGGAAAAGAGAGAGTGCTCGGAATCTGAATTTGGTTTTGCTACCGTTTTAGGTCAACGCTATTAAAGTAAACACCTGTGGGACTATAAGAACAGTGTTTCTGTCTAAAGGATTGTTCTATGAAATGAGAAATGTAATCCCAAGTTTTAGGATCTTTCAGCAGTGTGCCACTCTGTTCAGAATGTAGTTTTGTATTTTGTAAACAAGTCTTCTACTCGCAGTAAAGTGTTGTATTTACTATATACCTTGTTTTTGCTTGAAGACTTTAAGATAATGCTAGATATATGGAGATTAGGAGAAATTAATCAATTACTCCAAAATCATCATCTTCTTTGTCTTGTGCAGTATGCTCACAGAAAATGTGTCCAGAGGTGGTGCAATGAGAAAGGTGACACAACATGCGAGATATGTCTTCAGGTAATTAGGCATTTAATGGAGCGTTAGGTCGTTCATCATGTACTTAATTTTTTTTCTTGAAAAAATTATTCTTCAGTTTGCACGAATAAATTTGCCTAGGCACTAATTTTGAGCTTCATCCTCCATTTGTTCGGGATTCGCAGCAATTCAAGCCAGGTTATACTGCTCCCCCTCAGTTATTTCAGTATGATGGCGTTCCAATGAACTTTAGGTATACCTCTTTCTCTGTTCTTTCATATGTGTGTTCAATAGCCTGCAAACAACAAAGTTAGGCTTATTGAATCCTACATGAAACACGGATAAGAAGTCTTGAAACATCAAGATGTTTTATTTTTATGTATTTTAAGATATTTAAATCATGACGAATGGAGTGAATCATCCATTGGAATTACCTGACTCATGCATCAAGAGATCTCTTTAGTTAAACTGTCAGAAAACCGTTAATTTAGTTGTATTGTCAGAAAACCGTTAATTTACACAACCACTTCATGCATCGGGGTATTAAATGCTCAGTATTCACAAGGCATGTACAGAAGTATCTATTAACAACTTAGTATCTTAGTGTTTACATGTAAGATTTCGTGTTTCATTAAAAATCATTGAGTAAAACATTTTATGTGCACATGCAATCTATCTAATGCCACCATAACTTTTATCTGTACTAATTAAGGGGAAGCTGGGAGGTATCTAGTAGGGATGTTCATGATTCTCAGCTCATAACAATGGTCCCCTCTTATAGAGGAGGTTTTATGGAGTCTGACTATGATTTCTATTCTGCTTCAAATGATCGAAGCACATTTTGCTACAGATCTGTGGCTATAATCGTAAGTTTTTTTTTCACCAACAACAAAAGCTTATTTTCCCTGATATTTATCTTTTTCCCATTCAGACCAAAGAATAAATAATTATTATAAATTCCTATTTTGTTTTCAGTTCACCACCCTTTTGGTCCTTCGCCATTCTCTCCCTCTCATGATTGGTGAACCAGAAGAGTACTCTGTAACACTTTTCTCTGTAAGAAGAATTGCTTTAGCACGTTTTTCGAATTTATGTCTCATTTTACCGCTGTTCATAAATATTCACATGAAAGTATAAGTTGAATTTACGAGCTAATTTCTTATTCATTATTCCATATTCGTTCAGCTTCATGTTCTGAGAACTGTTGGAATACTAATACCAGTTGCAGTCATGGCGAGATTTATATTTATATTTCAGCGACGAAGGCATGTACAGGTAATTTCTTGTTGTTTCTATGTGGCTTTTAGCAATTTTTTTTTATTTTCGCATATTTATAACTTGTCATTAATTATCACTTTAGGAGGCACGAGATGTAACTATTTCAGGATCTGATGAAGAAAGCTTGAGCGTTCCCTCAAATTATAGACGTCAACGACCTAACCTTATTCTTGTTCGATAGTAATTTAGCTTGTTGAGGATCAACTGTGCACTTTACATAAATTAAAAAAGAAGAAAACAAGAAAGGAAAAAAAAAAAGGTGTTAGGGTGAGTTGATGTACACAAAATGATGCCACTCTCTCTTTATAAGAGAATGCAGAGGCGAAGTGGTTATGTAACTGTGAAATTCTGTAAATATTCCTTCTATATTCTAAATTAAAATTAAGCTGATATTTAGATAGGAGGAAAATTCTCTCCCTCTGTTAACTAAGTTATCTTCAATGAAAAGCTTGATGTACACAAAATGATGCCACTCTCTCTTTATAAGAGAATGCAGAGGCGAAGTGTTTATGTAACTGTGAAATTCTGTAAATGTTTCTTCTATATGCTTAATTAAAATTAGGCTGATTTTTAGATAGGAGGAAAATTTCTCTCCCTCTGTTAACTAAAGTTATCTTCAATGAAAAGCTTGATATTCAGAAATTTTGTTGACATTCTGCCTATTTATATTACGGTGCTTAATTTGTCAAACTGTCCAAGCCCATACAACGTGATGTAATATAAATAGGCACCCAAATACTTCCATTATTTCTTACACTAGTTGAGATGGTTGAATATCATGATTATTTAAATTGATAAAAATAGAGTAAAAATAAAAAAATAAAATAAAGTTTTTTGTGGGATTGATCATCAACTCAATAATCTCTCTCTCAAATAAATTATTGTTATTGTTTCCTTCAACTCAAACTGTGACCACATGATCTACTATTTGTGAGTTATAAACATATTAATTTAGTAAAACACCTCTATTTATTAGTATCTTGAAGTCTTCAAAAGATGGGTGATCATTCAATTCGTAAAAGAATTTACTTGTAATGTGTCCATTAAACTTTTAGTTATAGTTTGACTCATATTCACGTTAACTTTTAGTTATTGTTTTACTCATATTTATATTATCTAATATTCTAATTCAATTTTATAGTTCATTCTCTGTATCATAGAAGTAAATCTGATAATATGAAGAATTATTTTCTTCATATTATTTTCCTTTGTTGGTGGATGTTCTAGACGTGTTTGGGTTGCAACCAAATCTCCTATGAATAAAGTCCTAGTAGTCTCTAACAGTTTGAAGAAGTGTAAGATGTACAGAAAGGTGAAGGTACTTCATTCTGATTTTGATGGGATGTACAAAATGGACCTGTTTCTGTATTGGAGCCGAGCTCACGGCATTTCGAGACACTTCGTTGGAAAGGAAATCTTGGGACAATCAGATATGGTGGCAAATTTGGAGAACCATGCCCTGCTGGAGGAGGATCGGTGTTTGTGGTCGAGCAATGGTTTGCAGAAGAGGTTCTGGACTGAAACTTCGACATATTTGAGTCATCCTATTAAAGAGTTGTCAACTGCTATGATTGGAGGTAAAACTCTATTGGATGAGTCATCCTATTAAAGAGTTGTCAACTGCTATGATTGGAGGTAAAACTCTATTGGAAGATAGGTCTGATTGTGTCACTTTGGATGAGATTGTCAACTGCTATGATTGGAGGTAAAACTCTATTGGAAGATAGGTCTGATTGTGTCACTTTGGATGAGACTTCGATGAGGAAGCCAATTGACTCTCAGCAGGTGGAGAGTTTTGGACAGACCGTAGATGTATCGCAGCAGGTGAAGTGTGATGCTACTCCATATTGGGTGAAGATTACTCCAGATCATACTGCATTGTTTGGGATTCCAGCTGAGGTGACACAGTTAAGAGATCAATTTATTTTGGATGCAGATGATGAGTTGGGTTTTGATTCGAGTGCAGCTGATAGATGTAGTTTGGATATGGCCATTGGTTCACCTCAGGTGGAGGTGTTTGAGGCCATTGGAGGTGCTATCAGCCGCAGAGTTGATGATATTGGAGAAGTGTTGCGAACTCTTCTATTGGATTGAGGTCGTTCGCGGCCATTTGGGTGAACTACGTTCGGCTTGATTCCTTGGGCAAGAGGATACATAGGCAGTCTTTATGATGCAGCCGGTTTGGATTTTGATGGGAGTGAGATCGATTTGATGAGTTGATACCGATACTTGGAGAGTGTTCGCATTCTCATTTGGGTTCTCGACTTATTGTGGATTGAGTCTGTTGTCGTGAATTGTTTCACTTCGTACTGGACGCAACAAGTGAGATATTTGGTTTGATTAGTGTCGGCTCAGTTTTGGGAAAACTTCACCGAGGTGGAGAATTGTGAACTCGTGGGATTAGTGGGGCCACACCCACGTGAGTTGAGCGGAGGAAAGACGTGTGAACACGCATAGGTGTGTATGTGTAAATTTTGATCTCCCGAAAACAGGGGGTTTCGTTTGTATTAATAAGAAAGCTTATTACAAACTAATAATCAAATGTTTACAACAGAAGCGGAGGGAAGGCCCTCCTTGTTTAACGTGGGTTCTTCGGTGGCGATAGGACGCCTCGCTCGGTGCTCGCGCCGAGTCTGCTTCCCTTGGACGATCCGATCGAAGTTGCTAGAGAGCTTCAGTACGCAGTAGAAGCTCAAGTCGATNTTCTAGTTCACCGGCGATCGGGGCTCAGAACTAGGAAGTGGCGCTGCAATGCAAAGGTGATGCAGAGAGCTTGTCGTCGACTCCGTTGGGAGTCGAGAGCCAGTGGTTCAGTTAACTGATTGAATTAATCAATTAACTATGTGTGAACCCCTTTCCTGTAGCCGGGCGAGGTTCTTAAATAGAGGAGAGATGGCGTGGCCGCTCCTTGAATCATGGGATGTGACCATACACTGTTGAGAGACATCTTGTCGCTCCTCTGTACTACGAACCGTCACTCGATGGGTTGTGCTTCACGTCCTGTCGCATAGGAGTGGGAAGGTCCACCCTCGTATGTGAGACATCGACTGTCCATTACTCGAGTGGATTGGGCCAGCTCACTGTGCGCTGGCGGTTCCAGCTCTTGACTTGGACCGATTAGCTGAGTTGCATTTATGAACGCACAGGTTGATCTGGCACCTGTCCGATCACTCGTACTGTGCACGGCCATTCGACGGGCCTGGAGTACTGTGCCTTCTCTTTTCGGGTCGAGAGAGGTGGGAAAGCGGGTTCCCGGTACTCGAGTGGGCATGGACAGCTCGCCGAATGCCGGCGGATCCGGCTCCTGACTCGGACAGCCGAGGTGAGCTGCATTTATGAATGTTCAGGCCGACTCGACACCTGCCCAATCGTTCGTACTGTGAGCGGCCGCTTGACGGTCTTGGGGTACTGTGCCCTCTCCCTTGATTTGTGGGATTTGACCACTGATGTAACTGTTCCCATACTCCAAGTGGGCAGTTGACAGTGAGCTGGCGAGTCTGCAGCTTGGGTCTGCAGGCGAGCTTAGGACTGCAGGCAGACTTGGGTCTACAGGCGAGCTTGCAGGCGAGCTGAGTCTGCAGGCGAGTTTGGGACTGCAGGCAGACTTGGGTCTGCAGGCAAGTTGAGTCTGCAGGCGAGCTTGGGACCGCAGGCAGACTTGGGTCTTAGGCGAGCTCCTGAGCATGGATCGAAGAATAGGCCGTAACTTTCAAACCGTAAGTCGGAATTGGACGAATTATATATGAAAATCGTCTATCTCGACGAGATGGGACCATCCGAACCAAGCCAAAGGCTTTGGTTCGCTTCCTCCGTTTCGCCAAATTCCTTACGATTTGGGAGATATCTGTGTTTTCCCCTTTTTATCAGTGTTTTTCCCCTTTTTTGCTTTTTTCGGGTGAGGTTTTAGCAGTTTTGTTCTGAACTTCTTTGATAAGGATTTAAATGCAATTTTTATTGCCTACAAAACCCCCTCCAAAGTTTTCAGACCTGAATCAGGCCGCATGGGGTCTGGAACACTTTGGATATGAAGACCTGTAAAGTGATCCCTGCTCAGATGGAGTGAGGAGCCCTCCAACGAGCACGGTGAAGTTGATCTCTTCACTCGCAGCTGATGATCGCCTTCTAGGATTTTGAGCAAACCCTCAGCTATCAACGGACTTGATTCGTCTTTACCAACTGCCGTTTGAGTTGGACTAGCCATGCTCTTGCCCTTAGCATGGTAAGTTGTCGAGGAGTTTCTCTTAGGCTCAATGCTAAAATTTCTCCTCTATCCTTAGCCTTTCGAGGCGTTTGGATTAAGAAAGTAGGGAGCAGTTTAACCTCGTATACCAGTCGGAGGGTAGGAGCAGTTTAGACTTATGCACCAGTTGGAGTGAAGGAGCAGTTTAGCCTCGTGCACCGGTTGGAGGAAAGGAGCAGTTTATACTCTTGTACCAGTTGGAGTGAAGGAGCAGTTTAGTCTCGTGCACCGGTTGGAGGAAAGGAGCAGTTTATACTCTTGTACCAGTTGGAGTGAAAGAGCAGTTTAGCCTCGTGCACCGGTTGGAGGAAAGGAGCAGTTTATACTCTTGTACCAGTTGGAGTGAAGGAGCAGTTTAGCCTCGTGCACCGGTTGGAGAAAAGGAGCAGTTTATACTCTTGTACCAGTGGGAGTATAAGGGGACAGTTTAGACTCATACACCAGTCGGAGTAAAGGAGCAGTTTATACTCTTGTACCAGTTGGAGTGAAGGAGCAGTTTAGCCTCGTGCACCGGTTGGAGGAAAGGAGCAGTTTATACTCTTGTACCAGTTGGAGTGAAGGAGCAGTTTAGCCTCGTGCACCGGTTGGAGGAAAGGAGCAGTTTATACTCTTGTACCAGTTGGAGTGAAGGAGCAGTTTAGCCTCGTGCACCGGTTGGAGGAAAGGAGCAGTTTATACTCTTGCACCAGTGGGAGTATAAGGGGGCAGTTTAGACTCATACACCAGTCGGAGTAAAGGAACAGTTTATACTCGTATACTCGTTGGAGTCTAGGGGGAAGCTTATCTTCTCTTAGGGCAAAGATAAAGACGAACCCTAATTTGTCTTCTCTTGGGGCAAAGACGAACCTTGAAATAGCAGCACATCGCATAGTAGGCCACTATCAAACAACAACGCCTTTTATGGGAAAGACGGTGCTGGGAGAATCAAATCGTTCAGGGACGTATGAGTATGACGACTGATCGGACAACGTCATTTGCGGGAATGACGGTGTCGGCTATCAGAGGTAATCGTTAACATGATAGGAATTGCCGCGATCGGAGCGACTTTGAGGACCTACCATCCTTTGGAAGAGGATTGGTAAGTTGATTTTGTCAGAGGTGTAGTGTTAACATGACAGTGGGAGTTTATTGCGATTTGAGCAACTCTGTGGACTCACCATCCTATTGAAGAGGACTGGTAAGTTGATTAGTCAGAGGTGACCGTTAACATGACAGTGGGGGTCCCGCCATCCTATTGAAGAGGATTGGCGGGGGGTCCCGCCATCCTATTGAAGAGGATTGGCGGGGGATTGTGGCTTTGGTCCTAACTATCTGAAGATTTGATCAAGTGGGA